AGCGTGGCTTTGGGAATGTGGCCTGGAATGTGAGGGGTGGTGTCCTGTCTCCTCTGGGTCAGTTCCCTTTAGCACAGGGTGGAGGAACTGCTGTAAAGTTCTGGAGCCTGAGGGGTGGCCAGCAGAAAGGCTGTGGTGGCAATGGGATAACTGGTGCCTGCTGGAGAGAGAGATTCTCTTCACAAATACCTGTTCAGGCACATCTCACCCTCTTTGCTGGGCTGAGCTGAGGCTCTGTTCCCTGGGGCCAGAGCTGAGCAGTTCCTGGGCAGTTCAGTGCTGTTCCTGTGTGCTTTCATGGCACCGTTAGGGAAAGGGGGTAGTGAAACCTAGAGAGAGCTCCAGGACTGGTGTCACAAGGGCGATAAAGGCTCCCAAAGTGAAACTGAAAGCAGAAGTATTTGTTTTGGGCGTTCCTGAGCTGAATTTCACTGTTGTTTGTCACTGAACACTCCTGGGTGAGGCCTCATTCGTGGAACCCTAAATAATGGAATCCCAGACTGGTTTGGGCTGGGAGGGACTTTAGAGATCATTTCACCCCACTCCTGCCCTGGGCAGGGACACCTCCCACCAGCCCAGGCTGCTCCAAGCCCCATCCAGCCTGGCCTGGGACACTCCCAGGGATGGAGCAGCCACAGCTGCTCTGGACAACCTGTGCCAGTGCCTCAGCACCTCACAGAGAGCAATTCCTGCCTGATATCCACCTGTCCCTGCCCTCTGGCAGGGGGAAGCCATTCCCTGTGTCCTGTCCCTCCAGCCCTTGTCCCAGGTCCCTCTCAGCTCTCTGGGAGCCCCTTGAGGCACTGGAAGGGACTCAGGTCCCGGGTGAGCCTCCCAGCTCTCCCAGCCTGGCTCCAGGGCAGAGAAGCTCTGGTGAGTCACGCACAGCTCCAGGTCTGTGGTGGTGTGGGATTTCTCAGCATGCACAGAGGGTTCTGCCTGTCTCACTCCACAAGTGCTGGGTTTAACCTGCCCCTCACCCTGTGCCACAGCCCCCGACCGGCACTGACACCATGGTGAAGTCTGGAGTCAGCACCAACATCAACACCAAGCACCAGTGCATTACTGCCATGAAGGAGTACGAGAGCAAGTCCCTCGAGGTCAGTCCGGGGGGGTCTCATCCTTGGCCGCTGCTTTGCTGGGTTCGTGGGGCTGTCCTGGGCCATCGTTTGCTCCAGCACTTGTTAATGCAAGGCTACTAACGAGCCTTCAGTACCTGCATCACACACAGGAGGTGGCACCAAGGGAAACACTTAATGCAACAGGCAAAGTGTTTTCCTTTACCATGGGCACTGCAGTTGGGTTTAAATGCCTGGCTGCAGGCTTGGAAGAGCTGAAATTCCATCTCCTCAGAACACAGGATCCTGTTGGGAACATCTCCTGCTCTGCTGAGATCAGCAGGATCTCAGACTAAACTCAGCTGCCTATAATAACTGCTGTTCCCAAGGGTCCCACCTAGAGCCTTTCCATTCAGGTTTAGTTGATCCTTCAAAACAGATCTTCTATGGAAAAGCTTTGGGAAGTCAGAGCCCAAACATGGATCTAAGTTTAGGTCCTGCTTTTGGTGTCCCTCTTTATAAACATGAAAGTGTTGCAGGTTTCCTTGAGCCTTCAGCTTGGTGTGGCTTGAGTGCAGGTGTGCTGAGGACACTTATCTGCCCTTGTCCTGTCTCAAAAGAGCTGGATTTTCCCTTAGGAACTCCGTCTGGAAGACTACCAGGCAAACAGGAAAGGGCCCTCAAATCCTGTAGGAGCAGGAGCAGCTGCAGGACTGTTTGGCTCTTCCACTGCCACATCCAGCACAGCCACAGGACTCTTTGGCTCCTCCACAACCAACACAGGATTCTCCTATGGACAAAACAAAACTGCCTTTGGAACCAGTAAGTACAGCCCAGCCCTGGCCTTCCTGTGCCTGGTTGGGCAAATATCCTGGTAAGCTGCTTGAGGTTTGGGAATGCCAAAAGCTGAACACAGCTGTGACCTCGGGATGCTGCCAGGTGTGCTCTCAGCATTCTCTGCAGCAGCTCTTTGCCAGGGAAATTTCTGCTGCGTGGCTTTCTTTCAAAAAATGCAGCCAAAAATTGGGGGTTTATTAGGCTTATCTGTGGATATTTGTGGAATGAGACTGTAAACATCAGAATCCTCCAGGCTGTAGGAAGAGAAGTGGTTATAGGGTGAACGGGACCTGAGGGAATAGCGTGGAGCTGTGCCAGGGGAGGTTTGGGCTGGGTAGGACAAGAGAGAATGGGGAGAAATTGAGAGAGGGATATTTAGATTGGATTTTGGGAAGGAGTTCTTGGCTGTGTGGGTGGTGAGACACTGGCATAGGTTGCTTAGGGAGATTGTGGCTGGTCCATCCCTGTTCACAGGGCACTGTTCACAGCCAGGTTGGATGAAGCCTTGAGCAACCTGCTCTGGTGGGAGGTGTCCCTGCCCAGGAATGATCTTCAAGGTCCATTCCAACCCCTTAACATTTCATGATTCCATGGTATCAGGAAAGGCTCTTCCCCCAGAGGTGTTTGGGCCCTGAACAGCTCCCCAGGGCAGTGGGCACAGCCCCAAGGCTGACAGAGCTCCAGGAGGGTTTGGCCAGTGCTCTCAGGCTCAGGGTGCAGTGTTGGGGTGTCTGGGCCAGGGGGTGAGGTTGGACTGAAGATTCTCGTGGGTGGGTGTGAGAGCCTCCAGGGTTTGGCTGAGCTCTGGAGCAACTGCTGCTGTTGCAGGTACCACAGGCTTTGGGACAGGCACCACGGGAGGTCTCTTCGGGCAGCAGCCGCAGACCACGAGTCTCTTCAACAAGCCCTTTGGCCAGGCCACCACCACCCAGAACACAGGCTTCTCCTTCGGGGGCACCAGCGCCCTGGGGCAGCCCAACAGCAGCACCATGGTAAGGGCAGGGCTGAGCTGAGCACGGAAGGCTGCGGTGCAGGGATGGAATGGGATGCAGAGCTCTGAATGAGGGAGCAGCCTCTCGCCAGTCCATGATAATGGGCAGCAGTAACTATTCACACATAGCTACCCAACAGCCTCTTCTGGAGGCTGCTTGCTGTCAAAGCATTCCCAGTCATGTCCACACAGACACTTCCGTGGTTCTCTGGGAATTCACTAGCACCTCTGGACTCTGTGGTGCCTCGTGAGCAGCACTTGTGGACTCTCCCAAGAGAAAGCTGCCGCAGAGCTGTAACTCTCTGCATAACTAAGGAGTTTGGCTCCCAATATCCTATGTTTTTGGTGAATTTGGAGTGATTTCTCTCAGAAATCCCTGTACAATATTTCTTTTTCCTCTCCCTCGCTCACAGCAGTGAGGAAATTCCAATACCCTTCAGAGCTTGGAGCATGAATTCTGCAGGTTTTTTGTTTAATTTCCTTTTTGTAACTAAAGCTCCTGGAATGGTCTTCACCCTTCCCTCTACTCCAGCTCGAGGGAGAGCGTTCCACTGTTCCCCCGAGGCTGTGTGGGGTCTGTGGGTGCTCGGGGGAGGCCTGGGGCAGTGAGGCTCACGTGGTTCTGCCCGCAGGGTCTGTTCGGGGTGACGCAGCCCTCGCAGCCCGGGGGGCTGTTCTGCACCGCGACCAACACCAACGCTGGCAGTGGCTTTGGCACGGGGGCCGGGCTCTTCGGCCAGGCCAGCTCCGGCTTCGGCGTCGGTGGCTCGGTACGTCCTGAGGCGCGGCGTGGGGAGATCCACCCCACAGTGAGGTGGGGTGGGGTGAGCTGAGGGGTAAACATCTAACAGAGCCCCTTGGAGCTAGGGGTGGTGGGGAGACACTAAGACTGGTGCTGCTGGTGAGCATTGGGGTGCCCCAGTGAGGGTTGGGCGTACACCTGTGAGCTGTGATGGGTCCTGAACCACAAATGAGCTTGATGGCTGGTGTTCAGCCGTTTTGGTTCTGGTGGAGTGAAAATCCCAGGATCGCTGAGGCTGGGAAAGTCCCTAAGCCTCTCAAGTCCAACCCTAAGAGCTGTGTTTGGGAGTCCTTGCACGCAGGAGGTTAGGGGGCTGTGGGTCACCTGTGCTTGGCTTTGTGTGCTTCCTTCCCTGCCTGCAGCCAAGTGGAATTCCTGCACTATTAGCCTTCCCAATTGCTGTTCTCTTCCTTCCAGACCCTTTTTGGGAACAAACCTGCTGGATTTGGCACCACCACGACCAGTGCTCCCTCGTTTGGCACCACCACGGGCGGAGGCCTCTTCGGTAAGGCACCAGCCCAGCCCTCCCAGTGTGGGCACAGGGGGCAGAGCAGTGGGGCTCCAGGCACTGAAGGCCCTGTTGCCTGCACCACACTCCTGGCTGCTGGGCAGGGTGTGCTGAGGGGCTGGGGAGGTTGGCACTGCCAGTGAGCCAGGGCAGCGTGGGGGGTGCTGGTTTGTACCTCTGCTCCTGGGGGAACTCCCTCACTGAGGAAGCAGATTGAGCACCACTGGTTTGATGAGTCTTTAAGAGAATGTGCAGTCTGTGGTGTCCAGAAAGGTCAGTGAGATCATGGGAAGCATTGGGAAGGGCATTGCAGCAGGTCAGGGAGTGATCCTGTCCCTAGTGAGGCACATGTGGAGTGAGGTGTTCAATTCTGGGCTCCACAAGGACAAGGAGCTGCTGCTGAGGGTCCAGGAGGGCCACAAAGATGATTTGGGGAGTCTAGAACATCTCCGTGATGAGGAGAGACTGTAGGTTAGTCTGGAGAGGAGAGGACTGAGAGGTCCTACAAACATCTCCCAGGAGTGTCAGAGGTGCCCAGGGACAGGATGGGGAGGACTAACCATAACCCAACCACACCAAGTTCCACCTCAGCATGCGGAAGAGCTTCTGTCCGTGGAGGTGCAGAGCACGGGGACAGCTGCCCTGGGAGGGTGTGGAGTGTCCCTGTCTGGAGACATCCAAACCCCCTGGAGGTGTCCCTGTGTCACCTGCTCTAGGTGACCTGCCTGGGCAGGGGCTTGGACTGGGTGAGCTCCAGAGGTCCCTTGCAGCCCCAACTGTTCTCTGATTCTCCTGGAATCAGAGCTGAGGAAGAGAGGTTTGTTGGGAGGCTGTGAAGACTGTTTGCGCAGAAGAACGAGGGTGCAACCAGTGATCTCTGGGGCTTGTGGCAGGAGATCCTGCACTGGAGGGATGTGCTGGTTTGAAAAGCAAACCGG